TCTGAGAAAATAAAAAAGTAGGGGTGCCATTTGAAAAGTTCGACTTACGGGTGGGGCACCCCCCGCCCCGATCCCTTCCCGCGGTTTGGGAAAATGTCGAATACGGTAAAAGGTGTCCCCCTCGATATAAACGAACACGTCTTCTACAGTTTTTCGAAATTCCGACGCGTTCGGCAGATATTCAATGTGGCTCCTTTTTTGCGAGACACCCTGTATATGTGTATAGGTAAAATATTAATATTGAAAAAAAAAAATTTCCAGAGGAGTTTAATATTCTTGCTTTTTTTTCAAGACAGAGCACCACAAGTAAATACATAAAATATTTAAAAGCATTACTAAGCAATCGAAATTCAATCATTACACATTACGCTTTAATTAAAGCAAGTATTGGAGCACAGTACCGCACATTGAATCCACAAAAAAAAAAAATAAAGAAGAAAAAAAGAGAGAAAAAAATGGGTGGAAAAATAATACTTGATACTATGGAGATTACTTTTGGTTGAGTTAAGCAAGGAGGGTAAGGGTGGAAGATTTAAGGTTTGTAAGAAAAAAAAAAAAACTGGACTGTTCAGTGTTTCAATATAATAGAATAAAATTTATTTTGATTAAAAATACTAACGTTTATGAAAACGCAAACTGAATATATAAATTTTCAAAAAGAGTCATTTTAGAAAATGACGTCAAAATGCCAATATTGAGTACAAATCCAAGAAATTTAGGAATCAAACAATTCACAGGGAAAAACCAACCATCAATTCTTGTCAAAAAGCCTCAAGAAGAAACATTTTAAGCGAAACAATCTTGCTCCAGTAGATCAGGGATTTTCAGTTTCCCATCGGAATTGATGCTTGTCACTCTCACATTATGGAGATGATCTATCACACCACATTTTCAATAAATAGGACAAATGTTACAAGTTGTTACATCAAAAAGAAGTCAAAGAGATAGTTGGACATTTTATTTTTGATCTCTTTTCCTTAAAGTTAAGTTTTTCTCCTTTCAACAAGACTCTCTTCAATAATTACTACTGAAATCTCTGTTTATTTGTATTATTCATTGTCATTATGTTCGACTAATATACATTTTTAAATGAATTCGGTCAAACTTTCTCCATTTTAATGCTGTAACATGTATGGTATTCCGATGTCATTTTTCTTCTCAAAGTAGGCACAGCAATTTGTTGTTATTCCCGCCATCTTTTTCCCTTCAGTATTAGCTTTCAAAAAAGTGAAAATGATAGTTTAAAATTCCAACAAAATTATTTCAATGAAAGTAATGGAGAGAAAGGGAACAGAAATTACATTCTGTAATAGCCTAGAAAGAGATAGTATGACCATTTACTGATCAGTTGAAAAAGGAGGCTTCATGAAGCTCTTATAGCCATGAGTAGACAAACAATACGGCAACTCCAAGTGACTCTTGATTTAAATTTAAAATAAAGTCAACGAAATAGGGAAATTCACTGACAAAATATGTTAATTACTGAGAAATAATACAATTTCACAGCTAATTTCGAGGCATATTAACATGCTCACTAAGTGTCCTAAATTTGAACCATCCAAAACAATTTTTCGGATCGTAGATGTTCGATGGTCTTATTGTGTCATTATGTTAAATATTTAATATCCCCAAATTTGAGCGAAATCGGATGATTTTTAGTGCTGCCGCAACGCGGTTTCAATCGCGGTGAAAATTTTCGAGACTCGCCTTTTTAGCGTTTTGGACGCATTTTTTAAAGGCAGTTAGCAGCAATTGTCGGGCATCAAATTGTTTTTTATCGTGACTTTGCATAGCATACTTACAAGTATATTGCATAGTATACTTACAAGTAATAATGTTTGACTTTGCAAACCTTAAAATTTTACTTCGAACCCCTTAAAATCGACAAAACACTATTTATCGCTCTTAGGCAACTAGTCCAGGACTTGCATAAAATTTATGGGACAAAAAATAACAAGCTGATTTTTGGCATAAGGAGTCCTTTCGACCCCCTGAGTCCCTTAGGAAAGTCCTTATTGATAGCGTGACGGGTTTGGAATTGGGGGGTAAGTGCCTCAAATCAGTTTTGCTGACCAAAACAAAAGAACGGTTGCTCGTATCTTTACGAATAGCACCATTTTCTGAATCCTTGTAAATTTTTGGAGCGGTATACCTCATTACCGTTTTCCCGTAGCCCTCGGTGGCCCCCCCCCCCCCCCCCCTCCAATTGCAAAAATATCATTTCGAGGCATATTTTTGACATTAATTCTGGAGGGAAAATTTTATAAGGGCCTGTTCAACAATAAATGCTGCTTTATACAGGGTGATTGAAGAGTCCCTTCCACTCCCTCTAACTTTTCACCTAATTGAGGTAAAGATTTGAAACTTGGGAGATATTCCTGGGTCAAAGAAAACTACTTTTCGGCCCCCTAAAATATGTAGGGAGGTCCTCCTTGGAGGGCAACAGACCACAATTTTTTTTTTTCAAATAGGAAGATCCCCTTTGTTATAGCTCGTTCGAAAGAGCATAAAGAAGAAAAACTTTTCGCGCAAACCCGAGGTCAATGCGCCAAACCGTTTCAAAATGGCGGCCGGTTAAAGTTCAAGATGGCCAAAAATTCACACCGATTATTTGTCGATTGATTTACGAAAAATCGGTATCTAGCGGTATTTTGACATGGGAAAAACGAATTTGACGTTGTCGTTTGTGTTTTTTTCCTCACGGACTTCGGCGCGAAAATAGTGGTCGATAGGCTGACATTAAATCGTACCAACAGCTCGGAGTGACATATGAAGCGGCATTTATCTTTGAACAGGCCCTGATCAAACTTTCTCTACAGAATTATTGTCAAAAATATGCCTCGAAATTATATTTTTGCAATTTTGAGGAGGAGTGGGGGGGTACCAGGGGCTGCAGGAAAACGGTAATGAGGTATATCGCTCCAAAAATTTACAAGGATTCAGAAAATGGTGCTATTCGTAAAGATACGAGCAATCGTTCATGTGTTTTGGTCAGCAAAACTGATTTGGGGCACTTACCCCCCCAATTCCAAACCCATCACACTGTCAATAAGGACTTTCCTGGGGGACTCAGGGGGTCAAAAGGACTCCTCATGCCAAAAATCAGCTTGTTATTAATTTTCCCATAAATTTTATGCAAGTCCTGGACTAGTTGCCTAAGAGCGATAAATAATGTTTTGTCGATTTTAAGGGGTTCGAAGTAAAATTTTAAGGTTTGCAAAGTCAAACATTATTACTTGTAAGTATACTATGCAAAGTCACGATAAAAAACAATTTGATGCCTGACAATTACTGCTAACTGCCTTTAAAAAATGCGTCCAAAACGCTAAAAAGGAGAGCCTCGAAAATTTTCGCCGCGATTAAAACCGCGTTGCGGCAGCACTAAAAATCATCCGATTTCGCTCAAATTTGGGGATGTTAAATATTTAACATAATGACACAATAAAACCATCGAACATCTATGATCCGAAAAACTATTTTGGAGGGTTCAATGGGACACCCGAATGCTCACTTGGAAATAGCTAGTAATTGCCTTGATCCTTGAAGAGAGGGTTGACATCTGAAGTATTTTCTTGTGGGAAGGTACGCTTTCCAAAGTCTACATAAGAATGAGTGCATTTGTTAACCTGTGGCCATAAAAGCCTCACGAAAGTCCAAAACTCGTACACGAATTCAAAAGAAGCACAAATTTTCCATACAAAAAAGATACAAATGACTTTTCTCTCCCAATGCAGGTACTCTCAACACTAAAAATTAAAAATCAGAAATACTTGGACACTTTTCGAAATCTTATGAAAGTCTGCACTGGCATAAATGTTACACATGTTCCCTATTTTCTAGGTACTTTTCAGTGGTAGCAAATAATGTCTGTATGTATCTCATATAGTTGAATTACTCCAAATCAAAAATTGAACTCCTTCAAAATGATCGCAATTCGATGAGAAATGTATAATGTCTTTTGATTGGAAAAACAGGGAAGAGAAAAAATGAGAAGGATGCATTTACATTGAAGAGGAAAATTAATTAGGAAAGCAATGGAATCAAAATGGGTTTATAGGGTCAGATGAAACTTACTGAACGATAATAAAACTTAAAAAATGCGGCTCAGGCTGACTTCCAAGACGGTCTGTGGAGTACATGGCAAATATCAATGGCTCAAGTAGACTTTTTAGAAACAGAAAGAACATTATACTTTTTTCAGCCATTTCTTGCCTAGTAACAATGCTAAAATTGAGGCTCTGGGTGCAAGAAAGGGGTGGCGGTGTTTCAGGATTTTTGTTGCTTGTTTATTTTCTAGAGGATAATCTAAAAGGAGATTTTCTCCAATTTTTTTCCATGAAGAACTTTCAGTAAAAATTTCAGTTAAATGCATGCATATACTTCCCTTACAATGATTGAGCGAAATATTAGCAAAGACTTTGAAACATCACAACTAAGAAGTGCCTTTCTCGCACCCAGCACCTCAGTTTTGCTTGGAACTTATGGAAAATTGTCAAAGTGGCTCAAAATTTTTCAAAGGTAACGTTTGGTGAGTAAAAAGTCAATTTTTATCAAAATGAAGGTCCAATTTTTCAAAAACGAGGAACACGGTACAAGGTGGGGATTGCAATTACCATTTGGTAAAATGGCTTCATTCATATACCCCTTCTTAGGCAGATCCTTCCGAACTTTTGGAGGGGCTATAAAGTGGCTCCTATTAATCTAGAATTCCAGAGATTCAACTCAATAGCTAAACAAGGAAAAAAGTTAGCGCTGGGATGAGAAACTTCAGGATTACTGTGTAAAATTACCTCTGGATACCTACTCATTAATATTTAGAAAAGAGTTACTAATGTATACAAACAGTTTCTACTTGTCTTTCTCTGATGAAAAGGGGAATTTTCTTTCCAGGGGGTTTGATCCCAAATTTGGCATTCTAATTTTAAAATATTTCTAACTATCCCTGTCAAAAGAGACATGAGTTGAGGCTGCCTACTCGCAATGACACTGCAAGCGATTACTTTTGGGATCGTTTAATAGGTTTCAGAGGCTGGTGCAGCAGGAACTTAGCAGAAAAAAATTAATCACTCACACGTAAGGAACACATTATTGTAAGCTATAGTAGGGCCCACGAACAATGATCCCTGAAAAATCGGGCGAAAAAACGCATGGACCATGGAAATGACAACGCTGCAAGGTCGAGCATGCACATCGACAAGACCGGGTATTGTGAACGCGAAAAGCTATTGTATGCGAACTGCTGCTATTCTCCCCCTATCTTCAGGTCAAAATTCTTCATAGGAAGCCCTTTCGTAAAAGATCAATTTCTTGTAATTTTGCCCCAATCTCTTCGTCCATTACATGGTTGGATTGCTCGTAAAAATTCTGAGCTAAATCATATGTAATTGTAATGTACAATTTTTATTTTTTTCTTCTTTTTCCTTTTTGAAGCGAAGTCCAATTTTTATTTATAACATCGTATCTCGAACTGTAACTTTGCTGCTATTTGACCGATTTTTATAAACGAGGCCTCTTTTTACTCGTGTTTTAAAGGAAAGTAAGGAAACACTTGCTAAAAAAATTTTACACAACGTTCAACAAATTTTGGATTCTTCTAGCGGGAGGGTGAAATTGGAAATTACGCGTAAGTAATTAGGGTTCAATTGTGGCTCAGCTCCGCATTGTCCACGAACTCGAGACTTGGTCCGGGCCGGGGTGTCGCTGTTGCCAGTGTTTGCAAAAAATACCCGCGGCTCAGGGATCATCGTTCGTGGGCCCTACTATAGTCATCTTCACAAGCATTTCAAAACATGCAAAGTACATCACCCACACAGAAAAAATTTGATAACACTAATGCCTCCATCCTCTTGCACCATATCTGGCTTTCAAAACTTTTCATTTTATCTTACTTATTGTGCAACGCATGTTTTCTTGTGACACCATTACTCTGTCAAGAAAAGTTTAGTATGTAGTACCTTGACTCTGGAGCCACTTTGAATCATACCATTCAATTCAAATGAGCCAGCCTTATAGATTGATTTAGTGGCTACATCATTCAATATATCGCCACTAAATTGTGCCGCCCTTAAAGCGCGAGGCAGAGCAATCGATATACAGGGTTATTCAAAAGTTACGCACCACTGGCCATAACTTTAGTTCTAATTATGATATCGACATGCGGTTAAAGACGTTTTTCCTCATATCGAGGGGGAAACTTTTTTGGGTCCTTTCTTGTTGTTTATCCTCTCTAGGGGAGGGGGGCGGGGGGCAACTAAAAAATTTCAAATGGCCAACCCCCTCATGGTCATTAGTGGTGCTTGACTTTAGAATAACCCTATATAAACAGACCATTGGTTCTGGGTGGAACCATCGAATATATTAAACATTGAAAGATATAACTAAATCAGTCTATTGGTCATAATCTTACAACCGTGATGAAATCTAATTGCCGATTCCACAAAATAAAGATTTTGAAATGAGTCCGTTATGAACCTTTCCATCACTTCTAAAGCACAAGTACCTTGTTTACCGATTTGGTTTCATTGGGATATCTTAATAATGCCCACCTTTTTTTGAGCGCAACCAATCAGTGAGTTGCTACAAAAGTCACCAATGGAGTCAAAAATGCAATCTAAAGATATTTTAAAGTGATTTTCACTTAGCATCCACGGTGCATTTTTGGCAACAGACTTTCACAAGTAATTTTTTGGAAGCTTGAGAAAAAATAAAAAAATTCCAGCTGAAAATTCAATTTTTTCTGCAAAATTGTACAATACATGAAATCTTGTTCGACAAACATACAACTAAATCACTCATACCTCACTGAAACAAGATTGCTTTGAAGAGGAAAGTAAAAAAGAGAAAAAGTCAACTTAAGGAATTAATTACGCTAGTTACAATTAGGAGGATCAAAGTTACGTCGGCAGCAATTGTCGATTTCTTATTCGGTATTTTGTTGCAACTATAGCAGGTCAATTGCTAATCTGGGATCACCTGACCTTGATCAATACATCTCTGCTGTTGTAGCGATTCTGTTTGTCGACGAAGGTCATCCCATATCAATTCACCTATCAAGGGGCAAAATATATTTCCTGAAAATTCTGAGGCAATCTCAGTAAAGTTTTATTCATCTCGTCTAAACCTGTGCAAGAGGCAGTCTTGACTACCAATCCGCTAAAGACGTAATTTTTTCATCCAAAAACGGCTCCCTATGAAAAGTCTGCACCATATCTGAGGCTCACCATGATGCTAGCATAGAAAGGAATATCTAACTCTTCACATTTTCACCTAAATTTTGGACAGGTTGAATTCTCCTTTAGCCAACAAACATTGATATTGATCGAGAGAAAATAAAATGAAAAAAGAAAAAGAAAAAACGATTCCCTCAGCAAAATTATTGGTAGAGAGAATGTTGATCACGTCGCATTTTCATTACTGGTAGCATTTTTGTCTAGATGGAACTTTTTTTGGAAACAAACAGAGAACCGAACTTCTCGGGACACTGAAGTAGCCAAAATTCATAAATAACTTTTGAATAGAAAAAATTGAAGCATTTGTTTAAGAGATCAACATAACCATTAGGATTGCATTTCAGGTAAGAAACGAGATTGAGAGGCCAAAGAAATAAAGGGATTGTACTCAACTTGCCACATGATGTAAACAGAACGATAGATTTGAATTTAAGTAAGATAAAGCCTTGCTTTCTTTGCCAAGCAGAGTAAAAAATATGAATGATTAGAATTGGCCTTAGATACTTGAATCCTTGGCTACAAAAGAGATCAGTCAAAAAAATTGCGGGTCTGATTTATATTTTTTATTATTTATATGATTTATATAATTGATTCCCAAGGAGTTCAAAAGTTAAAATCTTATTTCCAGTTATAAAGGCTAAATTTAGCAGTTCAACACATTTCACACAAGACAAAGAACTTTTTCAAATTAGTTAAAGAGGTTGATTAAGATAAACTAACTCTGTTCGATTTACAGCAGCATGTCAAAGTTCCTAGCTTAGAAAAATTTAATAATATCTTCATTCTGGATGGTAACTTTAAAATTTTGATGAATCACATCAAAATAAATTTCAATTGAACTTTTTTTTGCAAGGAGTCCAAGTCTAGTACTTTGTTTCAATATTTTCATACTTTCTTCTAGTGCTACTTGCAATTTCATAACTTTTTGAAATGTCTAAGATGCCTTGATATTTTTCAGCCAGATAATGGATAAATAAAATGTTTCTTTCACATCACCCAAAGAACTCGGGAGAAAAAAAAAAAAACAATTAAAATTCTGGGGGAAAAAAAATATGATAGAAGATTATTGCACAAACCAATTCAATTGACACTAAAAGAATGATGATTTAAAAACTTTTTCCTGGTTTATACAAAGTCAACTTATTTTGGGAGAACCAATAGCAAAAACTTAGGAGCAATTATGGTCTTAGGAAGGAACTGGACAAAATGTTTGGAAAAATTATGATGCTTCCTGATTGATCTCTTTTTCCTATTCAAAGATTTCAGGTAACTGTAAGGATGCTTGAAAAAGTGAAAAATAAGAATGCTGATACAGGGCAAAATTAAAAGCATAATGGTTGAAACGCAACTATTAAGTCATTAATAAAATGATTATTGACTGAATCACCAAACTTGGTGTCATTCCTGCCAGATCAAATGTTCTTTCCAATTGAATGAATTTCTATTTGATCGAAACATTAAGAGGTAATTGAACGGATAGAACTATCAACTGGAGAATTACAGATTGTGGGCCAACATAAAAATAAGTAAAAAGGTGAGATGAAAAAGAAACAAATATGCACTATATGCACCCATACACAGAGCTATGTATGCATACTTATGTAAACCTACGATACACTAAATATAGATATAAGATAACCACAAATAATTAATAATATAATACCTAATGCAAAATTTAATCTTTTTTTAAATCAACTTTTTTTCCAAATTTTAATTTTTTTAATTAAAAAGATTGTATAAATCATTGAAAATAAGTTTCTTTTTAAATATATAGTATTTCATCATTGTAGTACAACATACATTTTAAATTATTTGAAAAACCTACCTATTACAACTCTCCCACTGCTTGGATTTGTGCAGTTCTCCTGGCGCAAACCTTACGAAGTAAGTTGAGTAGAGGATGCAGAGTGCGCAATTATTGGGGTCTGACAGTAAGGACAATCTTTCTGCGTTGGAGCACACATACTACATAGCACATAGTGATTGCAGGGACCTAGAGTAACACTACGATTTCGTTCTTCACAAACCATACACTTTGTTGCAGTTTGGAGGTAAAGAACCTGGACAGAACAAAATTTAAAAAGTTTACCGTGATTAAATCGATTCAGTAAAACACAACAGGCAACTATTAAAAATTTTATGTTCATCGTCTTCATTTTTCAAATTCACATTTCTTTTCAGGGTTTGTACAGGGATCTGTCAAGATGATTTCCATGATGTTTGCTGCTATCTCTGGAAAAAAGTCAATCTTAAGATTTTTTAATTATGATCCACATTATTCATTATTAGACTCATTATTTACTTTTCAATTTCAAAGAGTAAAAAAACAAGGCCTTTCAACATTTATTTCGAGAGATCTACCCAATCCATTGTAATAATTATGGTAAAGGCAGGCTGCAGTTATGAAATCAGGCGTCCTGGCTACGGTTTTGCAGTTTCAGTTAGATGAAGTGAATAAAAAGAGCTTTTTCTTTAGGGTTTGGGAGAAGAGATACTAATAATAAGCTCCGCAAATGAAGTAATAACAATACTACTTGCATATAGAGAGAAAAATTACCCAGCTTTACTGCTTCACATTTTACGACAGAATTTCTTTATTCTGTACAGAGACAACTGTAAAATGTGAAAAATGATTTTCTGCAAATATCTGGAAATAAAGGAACATAACACTGCAGTTTACCAACATACATTGAAATGGTTAGCTCGTAAGCCACAGCTTTAACATACCTTCTCTATTTCTTCAGAATCATTTCTCAACTGAGCCTGCAGAGACTTGAGAGTTGCTAGAGAAAGATTCCTAAGATCAGATATCCGACGCAGGCCGTGTAGATAAGGCGAGGATTGTAACATTTCTAATTTTTGCTGGGTTGCTTTCAACTGAGAGGCTACCTGTAATTAAGAGAAAAACCCCCCAAAACTGGGTATTTAAGTCACTTCTTCGTAAATTTACTGACGAAGCATGTGAAACTCTGAAAGAGTACAAACACAAATTTTAATCGCTTTACTTGCAGTCATACATAAGCATTTTCTGGTACATTGATGGACTCAGAGAAAGACTGAAAAATGAAACTTTGTTTACTGATATTGGCAGGTATTAAGATTAACTTTTAAAACTTTGCAAAGTCATGAGAGCCTTTTTTTTTTTCTTTATTTAAAGATTTACATCTACTAGGAGGTGATTTACACTTCTGTTTCATATTTTGCATCTAAAAGACAGCTTATAATTGATCTCCGCATCTGGCGAGTGGTCAAGGGGTTATGGGGAAACAAATGTAAAGAAGATAGAGATAAAAGAGTGCCATTAAAGGGTCCTTTGGACTGGCTCCTCCAGCTTTTGCTTCATGAGGCGCTTTGGACCCAAAAATGACGGACATTGTACACAGATGTAGTTACAAAATGAATTAAATTTGGTTTTATTTGCATATTGCACCAGGAACTTTACTCAAATTCATTTGGACATGGTTACATACATAGTTATGGCCAAACATGTGCTATTTTCGAGAAAATTCATTTTGGGTAAGGTAAGAGTGGGAATAAGAGCGGCTGAAAATAAAATTCAACAGTTGGCAATAACTCCCCTCCCACTATTAAACACCGAAAGAAAGCGCTGCAATAATTGGGACCTAAGGCTTCCATGGAAAGTGTTGGGGCATCAAGTCCATACTCAAGTCATTCTAAACAAACGGTTTGGGAGTTATGAGTGGTTAAAGTTGAGACTACAGAACAATCAAATAAAAAATGCTGAAGTACAAGACATGCAAGTGCCGCAGATGGCTCTGAGTTGGCATTGCCATCCTCTAACACACGCTTCAAGCATTGGCAAGGTCACAGACTTCTCGGGAGGAAGTAGTAGGGGAAATCTGCTCGGAGTTGGCTGTGAAGCGGCGCTTGCATATGTGCACATTTAAGCATTTTGGCTAAACGTTATAAAGACGGTCGTACATCATCAGCTGATTTCGAGTTGGAGACACTCTGCAGTGGCCGAAATGATAGACTTCATAGATTCGTTTTTTATTTTAAATTTACATTTGATTATCCGATATCATTAAACAGTTGGGTGTATACAGCCTTGATATTGCACAGTTTGTAGCGGTAAAAATTGCCAATCACTGAGAGAGCTTTTTATGAAATTAGGAGCGAACTGATTCCCACTTTGACATCAACAGAAAATCTGAGCATTAAAAATGATCGATTTAGTCGAAAAAGATAGCTTCTCTAGCTTCTGCTTGCATTAGACAAAGGAGGTAAGTAATGGATTAAATAACAGCAACCCAAGAGAGTCCCTATGTTAGTCCATCATTTTCCCTCTTAGTCAATGGCAACCACCTATTTCAACCAGGAGGATCGCATTTTTTTCCTATCGTCTGTTTTGTTCGTCGCTTTATCAATCAGTTTCAATAATCAGCCCGCAGGTCCTGCAAGTCTGTGAGGGAATGAAATTTCTGTTTTGTAGGGGCCTTTTAAGTGATATGCTACAGCACTATAGTTAAGATGACCAATGCTCATCAAGAGTCTCTTGGAACTCCTAAAGCTGTCTGTCTAGAGTCTATGCAGCATTTTTTGTCTGATCGTACCATAGCACAATTATAGATTTTCATAGCTCACGGTGCGCTTGAACTCACTTTTAATGCGACTTGAATGTACATCAAAAATTCAAGTTGGAGGTTGTAGTGGGGTACTCCCTGATGGGTTTTTGGGCAATTTCGAAATAGGTTGTCGGAGCTCCTCGAAAAATAATCGCATTTTTGTGGTTTTTTAGGGGTAAAATAGCAAAATTGGCCTTGGGGCGACAAATTAAATCCCCTCTTCCTCATCCTTGCCATGACCAATCTGAATTTTTAGTATGTTTTCACCTGGTATAAGATGTGACTTTTCTGAAATTTTCATGCCCATACACAATCTTCTGCCGCCCCCCCCCCCCGCGTCAGCGTTGCCAAGTTGCGGACTCCAAAATATCGAATTTGATGATAAAATGAAGGTTTCGAAGTGTGATTTCCATTCAAAATCAAAAATTCAAATCGTAGGTTGTAGTAGGGTACTACCTGCGGGCTGATTATTGACATTTATAGACAAAGCTATAGACTAAGAAGACATAAGGGGTATATAGCGATCCTATTGGTTGAAATTGGTGGTTCTTATAGACTAAGGAGGTAAATGATGGACTAACTATCGGGTCTCTCGTGGGTTACCGTTAGTTAGTCTATTACCTACGCTTCTTGTCCATTGCAACCACCCGCTTCCACCAATAGGATCCCTCCATATATTTTTTGTCCTCTTTGTCTATTGCTTTGTCTATCGATTTCAACAATCAGCCCGCTGATGGGTTTTTGGCCAATTTCGAAATAGAGTGTTTGAGATTTTCGAAAAATAATTGAATTTTTGTGGTTTTTTAAGGGTAAAATAGCACACTGGGCATGGGGCGACAAATTAAACATTATTTGTCGCCCCATCCGCCGTATCTTATTAATTAAAATGAAGGTTTTGAGGTGTGATTTCCTCCAAAATTTCACGAAAAATGTGCAATCTGAGAGATTTCGATAAGAAAAGGCATATTTGATCAATTTAGAGTTGCAGCGTTGCCAGCTTCACGATTTAAAATTCGTCAAAATGACCCGAATCGCGTTGCAACCTATAGGTCTGGATTTTTATTTCGTTCAGAATTGGTCATTACAATTCTTCTGTACTCTATGCATTTAGGTCCCATGAAAATTATGCCATTACTTATTTGATGGGTGCAGCTAACTCAACAAGAGAGGCCGGATAAAGTGACGAGTCGGTGGAAAACGAAAGGTTCGGGTTGACAGAAAGTTCTCTTTGACACAAAATTTATTTTATTTTCTCTTATGACACAAAATTTACAAAACATCTTCAATTTCGTTGTGTAGTCTACTTTTGTTATGAGGGAATTTATTTCAATATAACTCAAAATTATTGTGATTTTTTGCAAATTTTTGATTCTTTAAATTGTTGAAGGTAATTTTCTGGATTCAAACTATCTAATCCGCTGTGAGAGGAGGTCGAATTTGGGGACTTTCAAACTTTTTAGAATCGTCGTTTTCCACTCATTTTATTTGTGTTTTAATTTTTCATGTTTTTGGGAAAAATTTGGGGGGTAAGATTTTAAATAGAACGTTCAAAGTATTGATGGCAACAGGGATAAGATTTGGGGGGTGGGAGAAAGTTCTCAAATTCTACCTTCTGTTGATGGAGTAGATTTAAGAACTTTCTGTCAACCCAAACCGCTCGTTTTCCACCGACTTGTCGCTTTATCCGGCCTCTCTTGTTGAGTTAGCTGCACCCATCAAATAAGTAATGGCATAATTTTCATGGGAAGTCATGGGAGTCAGGAAACGCAAAATCATGAAGTATGGTATAACACCGAAAGTTTGGAGCACCCTAGTGTCAAGGCTCTGTATCGGAAACGCTTAGATGAGAAGTTGGGGGATGGACTCTAGGGTACCAGGAAAGAGCAATATCAGTTCATCAAAGATTGTATCCACTCTGCAGCGAAAGAAGCCCTCAGTGTTCACAAAACCAGTAATAAATACCAGCATCCTTACTGGTGGGATGAAGAAATTGAAGACGAGATAAATCTGAAGAGGCAAAAACATCTTATATTTCTGTTGCCTAAAAAGACTGAAGATAAAGTTGCTTACAGGAAAGCTCAGTCTAAAGTCAGGAGCCTCATAACACGGAAGAAGAATGAAGCTTGGGAAAGCAACTGTTCTAGAATTAACACCTACCTAGGGGGGAGAAAAAGTGCTGAGAGCTGGAAGTTAATTAAAAGCTTACGCAGAGACATGAAGCGCGACATCGTTTCTTCGATATCACTTAGAAAACTAGAGGATCATTTTAAAGATCTTTTGACGGAAAGGCGCCCAGAGTTTCGAGACAACAGCACGGACAACGGAAGAATGAACAACTTGGAGATTCACACTTATGACATAATTAAAGCGGTTGAAGAGCTAATTAATGACAAAGCACCGGGTCCTGGTGGGATTCCTGTCGAGTTGGTCAAGTACGGGTCTGCCAAGCTCTTTGAGTGCCTCAGAAAACTGATGCAACAATGCATCAGGGGTGACGAGGTACCGAGGGAGTGGAAGGAGTCTTGGATCAAGGCCATCTACAAAAAGAAGGGGAGGAAGGACGTCTGTAACAACTACCGGGGGCTCTCAGTGACCGGGACAATAAGCAAAGTGTATGGGAAGATACTGAAAGCGAAAGTCGAGGACGAATGGCAGGATCACGAAGCAGAGGAGCAGGCTGGTTTTAGAGCTGGCAGGTCTACGATAGATCATCTCTTTGTTATTGTCCAGTTCATTGAGAAGAAAATGGCCGTAGCTCAGGAACCGCATTTAATTTTTGTGAATCTCCAGAAAGCGTATGACAGTGTGCCGTTGGTGAAACTTTGGGAGGCCTTGGAAAAATCGAATTTTAAGGGGGGGTTGATTGATGCTGTTAAGTGATTTTATAAAGGGAGTTTTACCAAAGTTAAGTGCCATGGGGGGTTGTCAGCGGGATTTTATGTGACTAAGGGTTTAAAACAGGGATGCTGTTTGTTGCCAACATTATTTAAAATTAATCTCGAGTGTGTGCTAAAAGAATGGAAAAAGAACTGTTCTGGTATGGGTGTCCCCTTGGGTGATCTTGAAACTCTGTTCACTCTGTGCTTTGCTGATGACCAGGTGGTGGTTGCTCAAGATCAAGATGACGCGGAATACATGATGCGCAAGTTAGTAGAGGAGTATCGGAAGTGGGGTCTGGAAGTCAGCATATTCAAATCTGAGAAGATGACTTTTGGCGGTGATCAGCAAAGCATTGAGTTGGAGGATGGGCAGCAGATCAAAGGCTGTGAGCACTATAAGTACTTGGGAGTGCGGTTGACCTAGGATGGAAGGACGGGTCAAGCTATCAGGGAAAGTAACACCTTAGCAAGAAAGGCTTTAGCGATGTTAAACGGAATCCTCTGGGATCAGCGGATTTCCAAAGATAACAAGAGGAGGATATACAACGCTGTAGTTAAAAGTATATGAACATATGGATGTGAAATTTGGCAGCTGAAGAAACGGACACAGGATATGCTAAGAGCAACGGAGATGGATTTCTGGAGCAGATCGGCAGGAATTTCTAGGAGAGATCGGGTCCGTAATAATAGAGTACGTCAGATGATGAAAGTCGAAAATGACATCATGTTCCACATCTTGACCAAACAACTTGTCTGGTACGGTCATGTCAACAGGATGACGGAAGAGAGGCTGCCAAAAAAGATGCTTGATTGGGTTCCTCCTGGGAGGAGACGTAGGGGATGCCCAGTGAGAGGTTAGTGACAGGGGGTGTTAAACGAGATGAGGGAGTGTCAACTCCCTGATGATCTGTGGGAAGACCGAGCTTTGTGGCGAATAGGCGTCGTAAAGCACCAAAGAGCACTGTAAAAGCGACACACACACACACACACACACACACATATATATATATTTCTTGGGACCTAAATGCATAGAATACAGAAGAATTGTAATGACCAATTCTGAACGAAATAAAAATCCAGACCTATAGGTTGCAACGCGATTCGGGTCATTTTGACGAATTTTAAATCGTGAAGCTGGCAACGCTGCAACTCTAAATTGATCAAATATGCCTTTTCTTATCGAAATCTCTCAGATTGCACATTTTTCGTGAAATTTTGGAGGAAACCACACCTCAAAACCTTCATTTTAATTAGTAAGATACGGCGGATGGGACGACAAATAATGTTTAATTTGTCACCCCATGCCCAGTGTGCTATTTTACCCTTAAAAAACCACAAAAATTCAATTATTTTTCTAAAATCTCAAACACTCTATTTCAAAATTGGCCAAAAACCCATCAGGTAGTACCCTACTACAACCTACGATTTGAATTTTTGATTTTGAATGGAAATCACACTTCGAAACCTTCATTTTATCATCAAATTCGATATTTTGGAGTCCGCAACTTGGCAACGGGGGGGGGGGGGGCGGCGGCAGAAGATTGTGTATGGGCATGAAAATTTCAGAAAAGTCACATCTTATACCAGGTGAAAACATACTAAAAATTCAGATTGGTCAAGGCAAGGATGAGGAAGAGGGGATTTAATTTGTCGCCCCAAGGCCAATTTTGCTATTTTACCCCTAAAAAACCACAAAAATGCGATTATTTTTCGAGGAGCTCCGACAACCTATTTCGAAATTGCCCAAAAACCCATCAAGGAGTACCCCACTACAACCTCCAACTTGAATTTTTGATGTACATTCAAGTCGCATTAAAAGTGAGTTCAAGCGCACCGTGAGCTCCCAAACGGGTTCTTTCCCCACACCCTACAACAACTTGTTAGATGCTGAAAACGATGGTCAATTTCACTATCCCCCCTACACATTTATTTTGGACCTGAAAGGGCTCAAGTATGAGAAAATTGCATGAAGTTCTTTCGAGACCTTCGTCAGAATTTCAGTACATTCCAAGTGTTCTCGGATCATTCTTGAGCATTCTGTACTTTCCATACATGTAATGGATAAGTAGATCCACTATATACAATAAATCCCTTGTATGCACATAATAGCAAGTGGAGAATAAGTGGCTATTGAGGTAAATACACTCACATCATCTCGTTGCTGTTCAGCAATAGTTGCTTTCCTATTTGCTTCTTCAGCTTCCCTTTGCCATGCCTCACAGGCTGTCCTGGCTTGAGCTATCCTTTCCTCCCAAGAAGACAATTTTGAACGGCTATTCGCTAATTCTTCCCGTAATCTTTGCATCTGTAGACAAAGAATTAAGATTTACTCATTGAATTATAAACAAAAACAAAAACAACCCATTGATCAGTTGAATTTATTTTCTCGCTAAGCCCTGACAATTGAGGGGCTTGAAGGACAAGGCACATAAGTGCAGTTTTTGCTAATTGGAGAAATGCGTGTTCGAATTTTCAAAATTACGTGGATCCTCATAGCGGAAAGAAAGTGCAACCTGACTTTTTGATGCTTAAAAATTGGAATTTGAGAACGAATTCTTCACAAAATATGCTTGAAATCATTGATATCTTATTTTCTTTCAAAACCTTCATTTATGCGCCTTGTCCTCCAAGCCCCTCAATTCATTTAACAAGACTTAAACTGTTTTTTTGACAGAAATCAAAGCTGGGAAATAATTTTTATCCAAATGCAGGCAGCAGTAGGGGTCTAAGTGAGAACTTTCTCATTCCCAGGAGAGTTCCCGCAAATTCTCAGCTAAAGCATATTTGCCATATCGGTTAGTAATGCTGCTTCACAAATGCACCATCTTAACCTTACTAATTTTGGCGGTCAGTGAGTTCTGCAGTTGTTGACTCTCACCCATGAATGTGAGTACCAGCCTTTTGTCCTGAGATCACACATGGAAGTTCACGTCAAATCTTAAAAGTTTTCATAAATTCCATGAAAAATAGTCTTAAATTCCAGCTTTTTGGTGTTTCAATGACATTTCGAATTCCTATTTTTCTTGAAATTATCCATTACAGCTTAAAATCACAGGAAGTGTCACTTACTTGGCAGAAAGAAGAAAAAAAGAAAGAAAGAAAAAAAAAAATTGGAATGGTGCCTTATTCACCTTACAGCCCAACTCTGGCTCCTAATGACTTTATTCTACAGGGTCTTCAAAAAGTTCAGCTCCCCCCCTGTAACTTTTGAACGGTTGCACCTAGCGAAATGAAATTTTTACAGTGTTCCTAGGTCAATAGGAACTACTTTTGGGCATACTCAAAATTTGGGGGCGGCGCCCCCGGGCTGCTGGGCGGACCCCAACTCAAAATTTTCAAATAGCAACCCCCATTTTTTATGGGATTTTCAGAAAGAGGATAAAAAAAGAAAATTTTTGAGCTATTGTGAAGATCTCTACGATTTTTTTTCGCCGAGATATTCGCGATCAAAGTTTAAAATAGGCCTATTTCCAAAAAATCGTGTGCGCCGACCGAAAAATCCTAGGCAACCAAACTTGTGCTTCAAATGTTCAGAATTACACGCACTTTCAAGAAAAATTGGAAATTTCGACTCTGAAGGTCGCAGGCCGCCCCCTCCGGCTACTCCGCGGGCCGCGCTCCCCC